GGGGGGGGCAACAGTTCATTTATCCTTCCACTAATGCTTGCATTAGGCTGTCTGCATTACACCCCTTGGGTGCGTTCTTCCCTGGACCTTGTGGGAACGTGGGATGCTTTGTGCACCAGACTGCCCTTTCTAACAATTCATTTATCCTTCTGGTGTGTTAACTTCATGTATAGCCAAGTGAGAATTGGTACCAGAAGTCAATTCATTTGCGCTTACGGTGTTAGAGATATGTCTATATTATTAGATATCTCATATATCTCTATTTTGCAGGGTGGTCGCTTTGCCTGCCAATCTGGATTTCATGATCTTTAATCACCGCGGAAAGATATTTCCTCTGGAAGCTGACTTGAAATTGAAGTGATGGGATGGACAGATTCCGCATTCATGAAGTCAACAAATTGTCACCCTCCAAACCAGCCCATCTTTCGTTATTATTCTTAGAGAGGATTGTTTTAGATAGTTTTGATATTGAACTGATTCGATTACTTGAGCAGCACTAGTTGAATGTACTTGTTAGAGGGCAGACGGGAAAGACGTTTTTCTCAGTTACATATTTCCATTTTTGCTTGCTTAGATTTTATTTGTATGTTACTCAGTTTTCAGAATAGTTCAGCGCTGGAACTGTATAATTACCCCGTTTTTCATAATTTCAGGAGTTATGTTCTTTACCCTCTTTAAGAAGGACATTATTTTTGTTGAACGAAGAAAATGATCTATATCTCCTTATTCTCTGCTAGCTCTCATTTTCTAAAACGCCATAGGTCTCTAGATGTCTGATTCTTGTCAAGCTAATATATGTAATCGCGCAACTACAGTCAGATGGTGCATATTTTTTGCAAAATTTCTAAGTGCTTGAACAAAGATCAATCATACTTCTAAGTTGAAGACCATATAGCTTTTCAAAAACACGTTTATATAGAGCAAAACTTAAAGAAAGGTACTTTTCTGTTTTCAAAACTCACTCTGAATGAAAATGGGGAGCAAAGATGGTCTTGGTGGTTTTGGATTATATTTCTTATTATCAGTTTATTGCATCAAAATCATAATGTGACTCTCTTGTAACGCGAAATAACTCAACTATGCCTGTAAATCACAAGTTGCACCTTCCTCCCTCAACCATCCTAGCTGTTGGAATGAAATATCACCCCCTATTTTAGTAACTTTTGCCAGGTAAAATCACAATAAATTCCAGCAAGGGATAGAGGGGCCACAGTTAAAAGAAATCCATTCAGTTCCCATCCATTGACTTTATACCAAATTTGATTTCATTGGTGATAACATTGACCCTTCTTGCTCTTATCATACAGCTTAGTTAGGCCAGTCCAACAAACTTGTATGCCCGGATCACATGCATAAAATAAACGACACTTGTCGCCTTGAGTTTCATAAATAACTGAGAACATCCACTCAAAAGTCTATAACAATAGCTGGATAATGATGCAAGTAGACCGCCAATGCAATTTACGGGAGTATTCAGTATATAGTTATAAGAAAAATCCCTTTCCTAAAATCTTCTAGCATGATGGTATAATCCTATAGAAATCCAATAAAGAAAGGGAATAACACATAAAACCCATCTAAACTTAGCTCCATTTGCAAAACTTGCACAGCCGAGCTATGATGTGCTATCATACAGCTTGAACTTCTAAAAATAAGAGAGCAGCGGGAGATCTAGACATCTAGTGAATGTAACCACCAAACTATACAAAAAAGAGAAATGCTTAAGTGGAACAGTAAATAAGCAAAAAGGTTATCCCTCTCCTACTCGGAACAATTACTGTTTAGCTGTTTGTCTTCTGAAACTATAAAGAAAAACTGCCTTCAGCATATCTTTGAATGCAACAAAGTTAAAACTCCACAAGAGAATATAAAAAACTGTGAGTCTGGACTAAAATCAGCAAGAAATATGATGATTAGACAAGATCTTCAAGAACAACCACAAATATGTTCTCTCTCAAGAGTACTAACTAAAAGATACTAATTGGCAGTGGCAAAACGCATGTAAGAACATCCTTTTCATAGAATTCAACAAACTACAGTACCACCTTTCCTTGACCAACTACCAAAGCAATTTCCCTCATAGATCATTATACTTTAATTTGGGAATTTTAATCAATGTAACAGACTCACAAAACTTCCCGTCTCTGCTTAAACAATCAAATCATCAAACTTTTTCAAATTTGGCTCCTTGGCTGTGGTACAAGCAATATTGCAGGCAGGGTATTGCAAGTACTTGAATTATAGCTTGGTACTTGTTTATTAGATGAGACAGATAAATAGTTCAAACTTGGCTTTGTGGGAAGCTTACTATTTACATTATAGACAGGGCCAGGCAAGACGCTGGAATATAGCTTGAGTCTACCGTTAGTCCCTGAGTTACCAGACTTGCAATAATAAAAACCAATCTGTATGAAATGAAGAAAAAGACTGTAAAAGGGACCAGTTCAGTCATTTTCCTAATTAAGAGAACAAAAGCAACACATATAATTTTCTCATCAACTTTCACGCTTCATCCATCAACCCCACATTCAAACTTCTGCATTAAAATCTGAATAATGAAAATTTCACAGCCATCGAAAGCAAATAGATACAAAGATCAACACCACCATTCATAAAAATCTTGCGTTCCTACTCTATTCCCTCCTTTTCATTTGCTTATTCCTTTTCTCTGTTTGTGCGTGAGTGAGTGTGCATGTGTGTTTGTGTTTTTCATTCATTTTTATAGAGGGAGGGGGAGTCAAATAGAAGGAGAAACTTCATTTGCAAAAGTAAAAGATTCTCACTGAGAAAAATTCATTGGAGAACGAACAATGACTAACCTCGAAAAAATGCTCTACACTACATCTCAACATCCAGATAGACTCTGTGACATTCACAGAAGAATTACAGTATGGCTGACTTTTACCTAAACCTAATCACTTGCTGCTGTTTCGAACAGGGAACGGAAGTACCCCATCAAGCTAACCAATCCATGAACTAATTTACAACTGGGTTAACTCCTGCTGATTTTCCCTAGATTGCCTCAGTATTAACTCGGCTCTTCTCTTCTTATCATCTCTTTCTTCATCTCGCCTGAAAAAGGAAGCTTTTCTCTCAGAACCCTTTTTCAAAAGCCTCAGATCCAACGAATCACCTAAGACTTTCTTTCCAGTTCTAAAATCTAAACAGACAGCAGGCCTCTTGTCCGGAAGATTTTTCTCCACACCATCTACTGTTTCGGAAAGCCCATCCTTCATTGCCTCAATTGCAGGAGAAAATGTCTCCAGCAAAGAAATGTGATTTTTATCGTCTACCTCACTGGAAAGTTTAGCTGGAAGAGAAACTATGTCCACATCTTTCTCACCAGGTTGAAAAGGTTTTGCAAGAAATGGATTTTCGCTTTTACTAACACTTGATGCAATATCAACATCATCCGGCAGCTTAGAAGTTGATGCTACTGCTGAACCATTGCACACCAATCGCTGCTGTAAATTTAACAAAGATATTTCCGCCTTCCTTCGCTGCCTTGCTAATTCAATTTTATCAGCTCGAGGATCTGATGCCCTATCATTCCACGTAGGGGTCCGTATATAAGTATGGGGATCAGGAAATGCAGGTAACCACGGCGGTACGTGCTTAAATGCCGGTGTTTCACCAATTTGTGAAAAACTGGGTATCATCCTCTGATTCTTTACCACCGGAAAATGTGGAAGAGGTTGAGAAAAGGGAACCTCTTCGGCAGATTGCACATACTCAACCATCTCCCTAACAATACCAGAATTTAAACTACAATGGTTCACCTCCGATGCACGCAGAAAACCAGTCGATGCACACATATCCTCTAATCCTTGAATTACATCAAAAATGTTGCAATGCGTTCTCCCAGCTAAATTAGCAGTACTGCTAGCAGTCTTGCCTAGGTCAATTATATACTTAATAGCAACATCTGCAAGCGATTCAAGGGCAGATTCATTGAAGCTCTCAAACCCAATGCTTTCGCATATTTGAGCCACAGCAATCCTCGATATAGCTCGCCCAAAATCGTCAAAACCAGCTCTTTCTTCCCCGGTATTATCCACATTACTCTCTTTCTCCCTTTTACCCTCCGCATTACCTCCATCGGTCATATTCAAATTCTTGAATCATTTAGGGTTTCTTTTACTCAAAAACCTCACCACTCAGCTAAAACTCGTGCATTCAACAGAAAAGGTTCACAACTTGGCGATGTTATAAACAATCCGACAACTCAAAAGTGCACGCTGAACCAAAGAATCTGAATTCTCAAGAAACTCAATATGCAGTCCAAGATCTCTACACCCTACGTTGCAACATAAAACCCTAGGTATTAGGCTGCATTAAGGAGTAAAAAAACAACCCCAATTGCCCAAAGTACAAGTACACATGAATTATTAAACTACTGGCTTTTCCCAAAAAAATAAAATCACAACTTTGTGATGTTAATGAGAACTCCAGAACAAAGAATCAGTGAATTCTTCGAAAAGAAAAAAAACAGTATAGAGCTCAACGATTCATGTACCCCACTTGGTAATTAATAAAACCCTAGGTATTAGGCAGCATTAACGAGAAAAAAGTACAACCCCAAATGCCCAATGTACAAGTAGACATGTACAGGGAATGTATGAAAGTGAATACTTACAGCTGATTTAAAGAGTAATTGAACTTGAGAAGGGTTTAATGGAGAAATCTGATAAACCCTAACGGTACACAGAACTGAAGTTTTGGATCGAGAAAGTGGAGGGTCGAGTAGAGGAGCGGGACCTCTTTTATAGAAAAAATTACATTTTAATAATAGCATATGAGTCCATCTAGTTTAGGAAAGTCACAATTGAGCCCTATACGATTGTGAGAAGAAGTCCTCAAAAGTCAAAGCCCACAACTAAGGCTAAGACTCGGGGCGTCAATGGATGTTTAAAAACCGATTAAACCGATTGAATCGTACCGTACCGAATCGATTAGGTTTCTTTTAATAAAATCGTAAGTTTTTATATAAATATATAACTGAACCAATAATTAGGGTATATTTTTTATTTTATAAAAATAAATCAAAAAAATACCGAACCGTACCGAATAAATTTACAATGTGAAAAATATATTTATATATTATGTTTAAAAATGATAAAGCATTAAAAAAATTTCGGGACCTTGGAATTATGAAATAGTTACAAGCCAACAAGTAATTAAACTTAAAATCCTAATTCCCAGATCTATTATGCTACTCCTATTGAAACTAAATTATTCCCAGCATATTCACTAGCAAAACACAAGGTATTGTAGCGATTATGAAAAAAAAACTACAATGTATTGAATATGTTTCCTTTCATATGATTTAGATTTATCTTTTCGAATATTTAATCTTCTATAGACTTTATTCTTGAGACCCAACTTGGTTAATATCTTTCCACTCGTGCGATTTATATTTTTTTGTATTTGCTTAGTTTCTTTTACGCTGATGTAGAATAGTTGATGGATCTATACTCTAGCCATCTTTTATATTTTCTTAATTTATCACCTTTTAAACTGTAAAAATATCTAGAGATTTTTGTTAAGTCCTATAAAAGTACGTATGTTATTGCATTCTACTTCTAGTAGTGTATTTTACATGACATTTAAAAAATTACAGATATTACCGACGTACCGATCCGAAGAGAACCGACATGATTGGGACGGTTTTGAAAAGTCTAATTTTGGTTATACATAATAGAATAACCGAAAAATTGGTATGGTACAAATTTTATAAAATAACCGGCCGAACCGAACCATTGATACCCCTAGCTAAGCCTATGATTTTTTTTTTATTTACATTTTGGGGGGGGGGGGTTGGGGGGGGGGGTTGGGGGGAGGGAGGAAAATGGAAAAGAGATAATTATGCTACTGATTAACCTATTAATATAGGTATTTTAAAAAAAATATTTGAGCGTCTATCAGAATGATCTTCTACTGCTCTACAACTCTAGAAGTCATTGACGTTGTTAATCACACTCTAGTCCCATGACCATGCCTCATCAACCTGACTTGGCTTTGGGTTTCCTTAGAACTTAAGAACACAATGATATGAGCCAATAAAATAGATCATATTCAAGTAAGATCTTTATTAACATAAGTCAAACTATGGCGATTCATATAACTTATCTTTTTTCTTAAAAATATTATCGAAGGATTTACGTTATATATACTATCAATATAATCAAATATATAACAACAAATCAATTAGTATATTTTTTAAATTGATTATCCATTAATACTATTATAAATATTTTACTTATAATTAAGGTGGCAGCCCGATGCCGAAAATATTTCGCATTTACGCAGGTGCAAGAAGGGCCGCACTCTATGAGAGTGTGATATATGGAACCTACCTTGATGCAAGCATCAATGACTGATTTCACGGCTTGAACTTGTGATCTATAGGTCAAACAAAGACAAATATTTTACTTATGAATACCTTATGTAAATAATTTATTTTGTGTTTATATTTTTTCCACTATGATATTTCTGTAAAGTCTAAGAAGTTAAGGGGGGAAAGTGTGGAACTCCAAAAGTTATGAATACCACAATTGCAAAAGAGCACATATATAATTTGTTCCATGAACACGATGGATATATTGGGATAAGCCAAAGAGAACTCGTAACGCTTGAGAAGTAGAAGACGAAAATGGAGAAGTACTTTGGGAACGCATACAGGGGCGACCCGGGAGTTCCACATGCCGACCCGGAACGGTTCGTGAACATATGGATTGGGTCCGCTGCTTTCTCCGCCCTCACTTTTATCAATCCCTACATGTGGACTCTCTCCAATCAATACAAGTACTCACTTTGAATTGCCTCAAATGTTTCTTTTTATTTTCTTTCATATTTATTTGTTAATTTGATAAAGGGTTAATCTTAATTTCTTGTTTTATATAGTCTGCTTACAATATTTTTGGAGTAGCATCAACTTGTAGTCATAAGAGAGCTAAGTAAGAAGATTATGGGATTAGCAAAGCCTTATGTAAAAAGCATTAGATTACTTTTACTAAAAGTTAGGAAAACGGGAAGGGAGAAAAGTTAGGAAGATGTGTATAAGAAAATGACCCCCAACAAGTTATGGCAAGAGATAACATGGTCAAATAGAGATGCAAATCGTATTTGGATCTAATCGCTCGAGGTAAATAGTGAGACTAACGTCACAAAACCTTTGCTTCACTTGTAAAATTAGGGTTGTGGAGATGCAGTGAAAAATATGAAGGCTTAGGAAAGCCTTTTGTCCAGGTGATTCTCTAAGGTTTAGAAGCGTCATGGAATTTTTCGAGTAGTGTGGTAACCAAGTATTCAAGGATATGTTGAGGAGTAGAAAGATGCCAAAGCAGTGGAGAAAGAGTGTGTATGTGCGTGTGTGTGAGAGAGAAAACAAAGTAGCTACTCAAAATTGTGCTAACTATGATTTTATAGGTTATATGATTGAGACTTTGGGAAAGATTGATGAAGCATAGACATAAGGACATTATAAGGGTAATTGATAACTAGTTTGAATTTAGACATTTAGATATGCAACCGTCACTATTTTGGTGAGGAAAGATGATGAAATTCATAGAAAAAGAAGAAGTATTTGCGTAGGCTATTCATTGGCTTATGGAAAACATCTGGTACAATGCCAATAAAAGTCAATTGGTAAGTGGTTGAGAAGAAATATCTTTGTATGAAATATTGATATTATAGAAGTTACATATGAGAGAGCGGCACACGGTTGAGATAGTAAAGGAGAGAAAAAGAAATATCTTCGTGCTTCACTGCTAGAAGATGTATTGGAGAAGATGGGTCAGGGTGGGAAAAAAAGTAAAAAGGGAAGAGAAAGTAAAACAAAAAAGAAAAGAAAATAAAGAAAAAGAAAGGGCAAAAGAATGTTGTGTTTTAGGGAAGGGGGCTGGGTAAGAAGAGTCTAATAAAGATAAAGAAAGAAAAAGAAGAGTCTGATAAGAAGAGTCTGTCATCCCAAGTCAAAGGCAATGGGCGCTCGAGCACCCATCGAGCTCTATGTGAATCCACCCCTGAATCTATACAGGTGATGCCAACTAGTTGTGAATTAAGGTTTAGATGTTGTTCCACTTACATACATTTCTCGGCCTTTTGAAGTGTTGTTAGACTTACATTAGGTTTGGTGTTGTCCCTCATCTTTATTATTTGGTTAGGAAATTATGTTTGTCTAAGGATAAGGAGTTTATTTAGAGAACCTCTAGTTTTTAGACTCCTAATTTGCTTTCATATAGCGGAGTGCAACTGATTTAGGTTTAGCCGTTTAGGCATGGTTGATGGTTGAGTGATATATCAACTTATGATGTTACAATTGAAGTATAGTGGAGGTCCATTTGGTGTCGTAAAAACTACAAGCAAGGTTTTTTTCACCTCGTAAGCTCCTTATTTTTTTGTATGGATATGTAATTAACCTTCAAAGCTGTTACTGATATCATTATGATAAAAAAAGGGGTTGACTTTACCCTACGGGTTTCTCTTTGAAGGTTTCAGTAAAAGATATTGAGTCAGTCTATATAGCAAAATAGATATGAGCAAATCTATTCTTGATCCAGGGGTTTGTTAACGGTTGTTTTATATGCTCCCTCCAACCCTCGTTCCGTCCACGTTGAGAAGTCCATAACATTGTCTGCGTTTCCATTCGAGATATTCCAAAATGGAAATATCTGTTAATATAGGTTGTTTATTTAGGTTTCTACACCTTTTTAGTGGATATACTAAGAATTAGTTTAACCTGAGGTCATTGTGGAAACAGTCAAAGTAAGGTGTAATGCTCACAGTAATGCCTCCTCAAAGAAGTGGAAGTTTGAACTTGGAGAATACTACACTAAAGGGATGGAGGAATAATTTTCCAGTCTCTGTTTTCCCCCTTTTGGTTTCACCTTTCTGTTTGTTATCACATGGAGAATATTATCGTAAATCTACTTCTTGGCATTCCTGCCCTCAACGGATTACAAAAAGCAAAAGAAATCTTGGTAAGAGGTGGGAGATCACTAATTTGTGAATGATTTCTTGTGAGTTTTCCTGGATGGCATCGCAAATAGTGAAATATTTCTGTTTGTGCCTACAGGGCTTCTATCGTGCGGTAAGAGCGTAGTGCGTGATGTGTGGTTTCGGTGCACGTCACGGGTTTGAATCCAGCCGCAGACAAAAGCCTGGTATTTAAGTGGAAAAGGGTAGAGGAGGGGGCCCACTATCCACCGAGTTTCGGACCTTGCGCTACTGGTCCTCACGGGATTTCTCGGTTATAAGAAAAATAGTGAAATCGGCTTATAGAGAATAGGTAGAGACAGAAGTAGAAAGTTGAGAATGAACGTGATTGTGGGCCTTTTACTGTGGTTCCTAATCCATCAATTATCAGACTGTTGAATTGTGGGATACGACTTCCTAATCCCTCTAGCTAGGCCACAAAACCAACTAAGCAGATAACTAATTTACATTACAACAATCACATAATTACAATCAGCTCTATTGTTCCATTCTTCCGATCATATGTGCATGGACTACATCTTTTGTGTTTGCTATCGTATATTTTTGACAAGAAGAACTACAAAAGTCATGGTCACATCCTATTAGTCAAAATGTGGTATCTCTTGTTCATGGAGTGCGATGGTTAGAGTTTCCTTTGTTTCTTCCTGTAAATTAGTGCAAGATAGTGTTGCTTAAACATGTTTTGCTAGTTTGTTGTTGTCAGTAGGATTATTGGGGGCTGGAGTTATAGGGAGAAGTGGGGATTGGTTTATTCTAGCAGGTCGTCACTCTAAATGTTTTCTTATCTTTTTTCTTATTAAATTATGTTAACACACCTCTTTCTTTTGGGTGCCGTTCTCCATAACTTTCCACCTCTTCCAGCTAAGTGGCATTCCTTTGCATTTGAACGACAAAGGAGCAGCGCATTAATGTTAAGTTGAAGTCCTAATCCTTCACAATATTTTTTTCTTCTGTTTTTCATTAAGAACAAAGCATAACATTGCTGAGTACAAAAGAAGGATTAGAGCTTCACCTTAGATAAAGCAAAACTATGAAAATGCAGGAAATTTGGCAGTTGCTTCAAACATGGAAAGTGGTCATAGAGTTTTGCACCACTTCCAAAGAAAGGAAAATCACTCTCCCGCAAACTTGGTCTAGTGAGAGGTGTAAGACCTGGAAAAATTCTTGAGTACTGCTATGTTCAGGACGGCCGTATTAGAGCATGGAATGCATCTCTCTAGTACCATTTCATATTCACTAGACCAAAACTATACATGAGAACAGTAGAGTGCTTTTGTTAATCAGCTTCCTGAAGATTAGCTGTTTGATCTTTCATGTATTGCTTGGTAGTAAGGTAGGAGAAATAAAGATGGCAGACGTCTATATTTTTTGCAAAAGGGGGTGCAAAGAGGGTGGTTTCTCAGGGAGACTGAGTGAAGGTGTAGTAAGGGTAGTATGTGGCTCCCTCCTATTTCCCAAGTTCATTTTTCAAGAAAGTTCTTTGGTCATCGTTCTCTTCTCCTTAGCTCATCTGTTTATCACTTTACACTAACAGTTGTAAAGTCTTCAACTCTCGAGATCTAATACAAGGTAAGAGTGAATAATTGATTAAGCATAAAGGCTAAAGCATAATCCCTATGTTTTTAACTGCCGCTTGATCATTTCGCTTCCTGCATGATGGTGCTTGTATAAAGTTCATAATTTGTGATGGGGGCTCACTTATCCTTCTTGATCTCACTAGAGCTATTCTTCTGAGATGTGGATGCCAGTATAGCTTAGAAACTTTAGTTGACCTGGGTGCTCTCCACTATGGCTAAATCTGTGCCCCAGTAGGTGAGTACATTTTGCCATGTTGGCCACCGATAGTGTCAAGTGGTGGCTCAACGACACCCATACTACTGCATGACTGAGATTTCTAAAAACTTCCTTTTTGCTGTGTGTCTGAGCTTTCGAATATGTTGTTATGTGCAGCTGGCATGACAAAGCCATGCTCTTTGAGCAACATCACTGGAAGAAAGCTCTTAAGAAAAATAAAGATTACGAATTTAAGGTACTCATATGCTTCTTAAGTTTCTTGTATAATGATGTTCTCTCTTATGCGCTATAGAGTTGTATAAAAATAAGATTTTCTTTTCAATGCTTTAAGTTTAAAACTAGGACAGAATTACTGGCTTCTTTCTCTCATTTGAGTTTTATTGCTGCAGTGGAACCAGTACATGGATAAAGATGCACGAGACTCGTACTACTTCAATTGGCCTGTTTACTTTCCATAGGTTTCTCCAATGTATCAGCATGCTGGTGCTTTTTTTCCGAAATCTCCAGACAGGAAACTATTGTAACACTATGAGTTTAACCGCATTTTTTAAACCTGGAAATATTTGGTGATATTGCCATGTTGCTGCATGGTTGCTTCCCTTAGTTTTCTCTAATTAATGTAAGTGCTTGGTCTTCTATTTGAACTTGAGATGCCAAAAGCAGGTCGGACAATCCATGTCATAGAATCGGAGTATTTTCTTATAGAGTCGGGAGCTACATGCGATGTGCAGAAACAGAAGTGAGTGGAGAATGAAGTAGTTGCTCTATTGTATTGGTGGATTTCAGCTGATTGCATTGCTTGTGCGTCATAATATTAGTTTAACTTTTATATGACGCGTGTAATTTTTATTTTTTATTTTTTATATTATCAGGTCACGTAAGAGATGATTAAAATTACTGACTTCAAGCAAGTTGTGCACTTTTTTTTTTCTCTAGATAGGGTGGTATGAGTAGGGAAGGAAGGAAAGAAGGGTAAGTCAGCTAGAAATTGCGTATAGTAAAGGACGGGGGGGGGGGGGGGGGGGGAGGGGGGGGGGGGGGGGGGGGGGGGGGGGGGGGGGGGGGGGGGGGGGGGGAGGGGTTCCTAGGGCGAAATCAACTTTGTTATCTGATGACAAGGCGTGGGGTTGCTCTTACTCTCAGAGTTAAAGCTTTGGTTGGCGTAGTTCTCTCTGGAATCCACCCTTCTTCGTACCGAGGAAGGGCCGACATCCTGGGATTATTAACTTGAAAAATAGGTTACTTGCTAACACATATTAAAATATATTGATCTTGTGTAAATTCTATATATATAAATTAAATCCTTCGTTATATGCATAATATTATATCACTTAGCATGTAATTGGTCTTCCCACAATGTTATCTTCCCCTCATGATCCCTCGGAAGAATGTTCATTGACAATATAACAATTTTTTTTTTCTTTATTTGCAATAAAGGCTGGAGTATTATTGGTGGCATTGGAAACTTGGGGAAAATCTTTTTCTATAGCTATGGTAACGTAAAATTGATTTAACCTGGAACAGTTAAGGTAGGGACTCAACTAGATTATGCTGTCGTATGGAACTAACAAACATTTAAACAATACAAGTCATTTGAAAATAATAAAGTGAACAAATGATGTTATAGTCTACTAAATTAGATATTACGTTACAAAAATGAATATATGTGTAACTCTAAAACATAATATTCTGTAATGACACGAGGTTAATTATCGTATAACTTATAATTCAAGTTGTTAAAGCTAAGATTTTATCAGAAAATCTGTTGAACGAAAAGTGGTCATCCCAATATCAATGTTAACTCAATTCGAGTCAATACCTTCTAAATCCAAGCGAACATAATTTTTTATCGCACTATAATTCATTTGTCATTATTAGAGTCAAGACGAATCATTATGTCATTATATGTTTACAAATAAATCACTTGATGATCTTCATAACGAGCTATAAGTAGGAGAAGTTGAAGATTTTAATGATGATGATGATGAACAAACAACAAATGAAGTTAAAAAAATACTAAATAAAGAAGTTTTTAGATTTATTTAATTATAATGTATTCGTATTCGTATTCGTTTTGAATCATATCATATTTTTAAATTGTAGTTGCATAAACTATAAAATTATGATATTTGAGTTTGAGTTCATTTTAGTTACATAAACAATTTATTATTAATACTTGCATTGAGAAATGAGGACAATTATGATTTTATTAAAATGTATAATCTAACCTGCTCAAACAAATCAGATCATATATACTTAAATATGATCAATATTCTTTTGCAATATGCATGCATCGCGCGAATATTAATTCTAGTTTGCAGTATTAGAAGGCTAGATCCGCCTCTGGTCACGTGATATTGTACAGTGGAAGAGAGCACAAGTAGATGAAGAAGACAGAGATATGAGCAAGGAACCTTCTCTTGTAGCTAGCTACGTTTTCACTTCTCTTGTATCGCTGTGCTGATATTGATGCTACTTAGTTGATGTTTTTTTTGTTTCCCACCCGGTGTTCGGTACCTGTATTGGAGTCCGACTATATCCGGATTCACACCGTGTAGGGCCCCATCCGGGGGGAAGCGCTCCCTACCAAGAATTTTTCCATACCCAAGGCTCGAACTTGAGACCTCTGGTTAAGGGAAGAGCAGTCTCATTCACTGCACCACATCCTTTGGTGGTTACTTAGTTGATGTTTCCCTTTCTTTCACGACCGTTCCTTTGATTGGTGTCCTTTTTGTCTTCCCAATATTTCTCATATGCAATCAACAACTTGCTTCCATGTAAATATGACGGAATAATTGAGAAATGAACATCTCTTTCATTTCAGCTTTAACTCTACAAAGTGACGGATTCAGGATTTTAAGATTGTGATGCTCGATCACTTCCTTTAACATAAAGTTGCTGCAAATCATACTTATATATATATATATATATATATATATATTATATATATATATATATATATATATATATATATAGTATACATATACAACTATTCCAACGCGATAGTATTGAAAAATTAATAAGAACTACGACTAATGTTATCATTACCAAATAAAATTTCTAGTTACAAGTCACATTGGACTACTAATAATGTTATTATTCAAAAAAAAATAAAAAAATCTTAGTTTCAAGTCTCAACTCTGCTAGAAGACATTCGTATATAATAGGGTATCATTATTTATAGTTGTGAATATCTTACGCTCTACATAATAAACTAAACAACCATTTAAAAATTCATCATCGATGCTATTACAAAGTTCATTTTTTTATGTAGTTCTTGAATCCTTGGTTGCTCGACGAATGAACGCCACTGTTGAAAAACAACAAATAATAACTTTTAATAATCGGTTAAAATGCACCAACAATATCAGATACATTTTAATTTGTGCTAGTTGTCGGTATGTATAAGTTAAAATCTATTACTAAAAGAGAGTCACCCCAAAGTGAATGGATATGTGGTTCGCTTAGTCGGAACTCGTGTAGGTAGTCATTCCCTCAACGAATCGCACATGAGACTTCTGCCTCATATAATTCCGTCCGGAGCTTTCATCAAGGACGATTGCTTTCATTACTGACTAGACGATGTAACATCGCCACTTAAGTCTAATTAAAGGGTAGCCCCGGTGCACTAAGCTCCCGCTATGCAAGAGGTACGAGGAAGGGGCTGTCCTCAAGGGTCTATGGTACGTCGTCTTGCCATGCAGACTAGCAAACAAGATAAAGAATTGGGAAAGACCATAAATTAGGGCTTCAATCGATAAAAAATATCTTGACTTTTAAATTTAATATATTTCAGTTCCTTTTTAAACTTTTGAGTAATTACAAATTGAATTTTGAGAATTTGCGTATTATATGAAGGACTTATATAACAAATTTTGTTTTAATTTGAAAAAAGTCTATGTTGCTTATGCCTCACTACATAAATGCGCCTCAAACGCTCAGGCGTACGCCCCAAATTACTGGACGTATGCCTCTTGAGACTTTCGTCCCACACCATCGGCTTGAGACATTTTTGATGCGCCTCGCCCCAGGGCTCGCCTCGAAAACGCCTTTCAAAACACTGGTCATAATAAATTATGCACTTTATTTATTATTTCTTAAAAAGCGTGAAAAGTCCAAAGTGGGCAACTAAAAGTGAACAGAGGGAATATACATTAGAGAAGCCAATATGTACTACATATTAGTTTTTTTATTTTTTATAATCATGGTGTCCGGACCAACTTACATACCCCTCGACTAATTAATGAATAATATGGATAATTAATTATTATTTTTAACTATTTTACCATCACTACTCTGCAGTAAGGTAAAGTTAGTGTTAATTTGTTTTCCAGGTACAAATGTTAGGTGAGGGATCTATTCTTTAAAAATAGTATTAGGCTAAATAATGGATAAAAAGTTTCTCTCAAGAAAAAATAAAAAAATTCTGGTCACGGAGTCGGCAGATTCAAACGATACTCCTATCTCTTATCCTGCCCTCCCCAAAGGAATAGAAAAGAACAAACACAATAAATTAACACCCCTGACACGAGGGTACAGGTAGAGCCAGAATTTGAAGTTAACGGCTTCGGGATTTTATTCCTTCTGAATTATTGGGTTTTGAATTAATAATTTGAACATATCCAATGAGCTTTTAAAGACAAATATATATTCAATGAGTTTGGACCAAAGCTACTGGGTTCGGTCGAACTCGCGTCCGAAGCTCTAACTCCGCCCCTGCCAGGAACGAATGTAGAATAATAGGAACATGTTCAATTAACCATAACTTTCGACGTAGAGCATAAATTTACATATGAAAATCTATTAAAAATGTAACAAATAGTAGATATGAAACTTTAAAAATATAACGAGTTCAATACTATGAAGCTTAAAAATTAAACCAATAGAGTTTAAATTTTGAATCTTACACGCTGTCAAAAAAGAAAACAGAAAAAGGAACAAATGATGAACTAATCATCAATTAATAATTCTAAAAAGATCTTTGATGGCTCACATGAGAGTGTTCATTGGAGGAGAGAACAAGTAGATGGAGAAGACAAAGATACATAAGTAAAGGGGCCTCCTATATATTGCAATTACTTTTTCCTTCTCTTGTGCTATTCTGATACTGATGCTACTTACTTGATATTTCCCTTTCTTACTCAACCAATCCTGTGAAAAATTAACAACTATTGTCTCAACCCGAATATGACAGCCTGGAAAAAACGAAAAAGTGAAGGACTTCAGTAAGTTCTTAGCCTGCTTCTTTTTTATATACTTCACGGTAAAGCTGCTGCCATGTAATCAGGAGGTTACGGGTTCGAGCCGTAAAAATATCCTCTTGCAAAAATGCAGGGTAAAGCTGCGTATAATAGACCCTTGTAGTTCCGGCCCTTTCCCGGACCCCGCACATAACGCGAGCTTAGAGCATCAGGCTGTCCTTTTTTCCTAGACAGCTAGATCTTTCTATAACATCATTCTTACATGACAATACTTTACTATAAAAATCAAAGATTTTTCAGAATCATTTTGGGCACATGCAACGCGCGTGTACCCCCTAATGAGTATTAGACTTTAAAAATAACATAAATATTACTATTAAAATATTTTTAGTTATAAAATAAAATTTAATTGCAAATTCCAAAATAATAAATGATGATTCTACTTAGCTAATTCCATAAAATAAAAATAAAAAATAAAAATCCTACCCCATAAGTCCTTGGATACCTTAGATGTCAAGGTTCCTTTATTTTAGATAGTCCGTAAATATATTCCTACTATTAATAAGCGGGAATTTGAGCTGCCTCCGGTTACAAAGAGAGCTGCATCCGGTTACTATTTGGGTCATAAGG